TCTGGTCGGGCTTGGTCGGGCCACGAGTTAGAAGACGGGTGGCGGTGTTGTGTGAATATTTTTTTTTTAATGGACCCAACCGGCCCGGAACCAGGAAAATCGGAGGGTTAATGGTCTGGCGTTTAGTGTTATAATGATTTTGTGAATATTGTATTTTTGGTATAGATAGGTTTTAGTATCTTGGAGATTTGGTGTAGATTGTTTTAGGGTTTTTTGTATCTATATATTCGGCTCTTATAAATCTCAGTTGAACAAGGTTTCGAAGAGACGAATTGGTCTTCACATATTTGACATGGTATCACAGTCCGGGTTAATTTTTTCTTTTTTTTTTTTGGATTCATAGTCTCGATCAACTGAGTTTTCTATCCTCGACTTCTCTCGATCAACAAAGATCAACCACTTTTAAAACAAAAAAAAAAAAACAATCAGAATTGCTGATTCTTCTTTTTGCGTCTCGATCAATTGAGATTACTCAAAAAAAAAATCGAATTATGGTAGAAGCGGATAATGGAGGACGAGCTGGTCGTGGCGGACGAGGTGACGGACCAGCTGCTGTCGGACTTGTCAATGCCGCTTTCGGGAACGAGGCTGCACTTACGACCTCTGGCACCATACATGGCGGGCCAACATCTTCATTGAAGGACTCCGATCGGGCAGCTATTTCTGGGTTGACTGATGTCCAATGAGAGTCTATTGTACACCTCGTCACTTCTGCCCGCAACAATGCTCCTTTGTCCGGTAAGCGTAGTCCTTATGAGTGGATGCATAATAGTGGTGCTTCACATCATATGACGGGCTAGTTGGAATTTTTTTTTGATATTCGGGATATTCCGTCCCGGTCTGTGCAGTCACCTAATAGCACGCTTACCACTGCGTGTAAAGCTGGAACTGTTCATCTTGATTCTCGTATTATTCTATATGATGTTTTGTTCGTTGACAGTATGCAGTGCAGCTTGATATCTTTATCTCGGTTGTTGGAACAATATGATTGTGTTGCTACCTTCACTAGTAAATATTGTGCTATTCAGGACCTCACTTCGAGGACGGTGATTGGAGCGGGTGACCAATTGGGGGGGCTCTATTTTTTTCGAGGGGCTATCACTGCCAATGCTTCTTGGGTGTCTTCGGTTATGCAACACTTGTGGCACCAACGGATGGGTCATCCCTCTTCTACTGTTCTTGGTCAATTGCCTTTTGTTGAATCTCATTCCTTGGTCTCGAGTAAAACTTGTGATGTTTGTTGTCGGGCTAAGCAATCTCGTGCTACCTTTCCTCTTAGTCGAAGTGTTAGCAGTTCCATTTTCAGTCTGATTCATTGTGATGTGTGGGGACCGTATAGAGTTCCTGCCTTTTGTGGTGCTCGATATTTTCTGACTATTGTTGACGACTATTCTCGCGGTACTTGGATTTTCTTATTGGATGACAAATCTTCGGTGTCTTCTACTTTACTGCAATTTTTTGCTTCTGTAAAAGGCAATTTGGTGTGTTGGTTAAAACTATTCGCAGTGACAATGGAACTGAATTTACCCGTATGCGTGATTATTTCCGTCAGCAGGGGATTGTTCATGAAACTTCTTGTGTCGGAAATCCTCAAAAAAATGGACGTGCTGAGCGCAAACATCAGCATATTCTTAATGTTGCTCGAGCATTACGCTTTCAAGCCCATTTACAGATTAAGTTCTGGGGAGATTTTGTACTTGCTGCTGGCTATTTGATTAACCGAACGCCTACTCCTCTTTTATCTGGCAAGACTCCCTATGAACTTTTGTATGGAGAACCTCCCAACTATGCGCACTTACGTGTTTTTGCTTGTCTGTGTTACGTGCACAATCAGAACAGGGAAGGTGACAAGTTTGCAAGTCGGAGTCGTCGATGTGTTTTTGTTGGCTATCCATCTAGTCAAAAGGGATGGTGTGTTTATGATTTGGACAACCGCATTTTTTTTGTCTCACGTGATGTGAAATTCTGTGAATCAGAGTTCCCTTATTTGACGTCTCCTACTCCTAACATTGCCTCCGTACCTCTGGTTTCATGGCCTGTTGTTTCTGACGATGATGATACTGTGGTGGTTCCCACCACGACGCGCACCACTGACACTGGGGGTTCTGAAGTCATTGTTGATAGGGGGGTAATCCTCCCTAAGAAGAGTTGTTGGGTCGTGGTCATCGTCTCAAGAGGCCCTCTTCCCATCTTGCCGACTTTGTCTCTCACACTGTTTGTTCCTCGTCTCCCCACTCTACCTCCTCAATCACGTCATCGTCTGGTACTCCTTACCCTCTCGCACACTATGTTTCTTGTAATTCCTTATCACCTGCACATAAGTCATTTCTGGCAGCCATTTCGACTGTTGTTGAGCCTCGAACTTTTTCTGAGGCTGTTCGAGATAGTCGCTGGCGTTCGACTATGCAACTGAAGATTCTAGCATTGGAATCGAACCGTACTTGGGATATTGTTTCTCTTCCTAATGGGAAACACGCGATTGGTTGCAAGTGGATTTACAAGATTAAATATAACTCTGATGGTTCTGTTGAGCGCTACAAGGCGCGTTTGGTCGCTTGGGTAACCTGCAGGTGGAGGGCATTGACTATCAAGAGACATTTGCACCTGTCGCTAAGATGGTTACTGTACGGACTTTTCTTGCTGTTGCAGCTGCTCGACATTGGGAGGTTCATCAGATGGACGTGCACAATGCGTTCTTGCATGGGGATTTGTCTGAGGAGGTCTGTATGAAACTTCCTCCTGGTTTTCACTCGCCTGATCCAGGTAAGGTGTGTCGATTACGCCGATCTCTGTATGGTTTGAAGCAAGCTCCTCGGTGTTGGTTTGCGAAGCTTGCTTCTGCTCTACGATAGTATGGTTTTCAGCAGTCCTATTCTGATTACTCACTGTTTGTTTTTCATAGTGACTCATTGAGTTTACATGTTCTGGTTTATGTTGATGATCTGATTTTTTCTGGAAGCGATCCAGTCGCCATTACTGCCTTTAAGAATTATTTGGGTCGTCGTTTTCATATGAAAGATTTGGGTTTGTTGAAATACTTTCTTGGTATTGAGGTTGTGATGCAGACCCTAGTAAGATATTGTCCACTTTGGGCTACTTCCGCCACCCGCACGGCTTTGTTCTTGGCTGGGCTTTAATACACACCCACCAAAACGCGTCTTACTAGTGAAGGTATCCACATCCTCATATAAGGCCTGCTTCGTTTCCTTTCAAACCCGATGTGGGATGCGCTGCATCATCCACCCCCCCTCCCCCCCCTTGTGGGCCCAGCGGTCACCGCTGGCACGTGGGCTGGCTCTGATACCAACTGATGTAGGGAATGCGTACAAATGGAAAGGATAAAACGAGATACTCTCTCGAACTTGGGATACTCTCACAAAAAAACACGAACAATTTTAATTTATTCTCAAATTCAACTCAATAAAACAATAGATGGGGGAGCCCTTTAAATAAGACTCCTAAACATTATTTTTAACTTGTCCAATAAGACAAGATCTCTAATATTTAATTCATAACTTATTCTCCAAGATAATAATAATAATAATAATAATAATAATAATAATAATAATAATAATAATAATAATAATAATATTAATAATATTCTACACCATTACTGATGTAGGGAATGCGTACGAATGGGAAGGATAAAACGAGATACTCTCTCGAACTTGGGATACTCTC